GAATCTCACAGAACCCGCACCTTGTTGGTCTTTGAAATCATGTGTGATTGTTCAAATTCAGCCCCATACAGCTTGTTGGGATGATCCCTCCAAGCCGTTCTTCCAACCACCGACACATGGACACATCTAGAGGAACTCTTATGGTTATTTTGAGTGAGCCACTCAGATTAAGGTTGCAAGACTTACATGCTCTAGGCAACACTAGCGGTCCCGATGGAGAATAAAATCAGAAACATATGCAGTAAAGCCACACTGTGGGGTCCAAACTTCTAATTACAAGATGAGCATCAACCAACCACTCATCCAGCCTCAAAGCAAAGTCAACATATAGTAAGGGAACATTTCAATCTGTGCACTTAAAGGGCGTTTCTCATTTTTGTTTGTTTATTTGTTTATTTAGCTAATTTTTGTGCAGGCATTGTAAGCCGTAATCAGATTAAAGACCTTTTTATGCAGTTTAAATGTGAGCATTAAATTAAACTGTTTAAAGGGTCACGAAACACCAAAACACATTTTTTGAGCTGTTAACAGTCGTATATGTGTCCCACACTGCTAAAAACACTATTAGGACACCTATATTTCACTAAAAAGTGTAAATTGGTTGTTTTTGCGTTATTTCAAGCAAATTCGTACTTCCGGTTTGAAACGAATTTTTGAAGCTGCGTCACGGTCATGACATAATAGCGTTCTATTCCAGCGTGCAGACTGGGCGTCTGTACCAGAGTGTGTCTTATTACGTCTTACAGTGTGATGCATTAATGCATGAGTAAGGCTTGGTTCAAACCAATCAGCGTACTCTATTGTGCAACTTCATTAATATTCATTACTTTCACAGTGTTTAGACGGCAGAGACGCCACATTGTATTGGCAAAACAAGCGTGAAGTGTTGCTTTTATAGCTCAGACAACTTGTGGATTAACAGTGTATGTGACGCTCGACAACAATAACTTACGTGTCTAAGGAGGAACATTGTTTACCTGAGAGGTGTTCTCATCTGCAAACGCTGAGATCCGGATTCGCTTGTAGTATTATCTTCATAAAGACGCGGCTCTAGTAGTTGCTGTTGATTGTCCTGTCTCTAAAGATTTGGTAAGTGAGCGACCAGTGCTCTTTGTTTATTCAGTTTGTTCGTATCTAACAAACTATTGCACCGAGTGTAAACATGTTAACACCACAACCAAACTTTAACCTCGTGTAGGGTTTTTACCGCATTTAGTGACCGGAATAACACACTTTCTGACACTACCTGCCGTGTGCATCTAAGTTTCCGGGAAATGCAGAGGTTTTTTTCTTCTCTCATTCGCCGTGCGGTATCAAACATTGCATGAAAAATACACGTTTAGAGCAGTTCCTCGAATCAAATATCTCGTTTGTCGCGAGGGGCATGAATGAACTCCCTGAATGAAACAGCCAAACTGCAGTTAAAGTCCACCATTTAATAATTTGCCAAATAATTCGACTACAGATGTCCATGTAGGTTAAACACCATCACTTTCTACTGTGTGTGTGTATTTTTACTGAAACTCGCGCGTGCCCAAATAGACACTCCCACAACATCCCACTTTTCTTCCTCCGACACTCCCCCCTAAAAAGAGCTGGACACGCCCACTTTTCTTACTTTTTCCAAAGTAGAGGTGTGAAAACACCCTGCTGAAACGAGGGGGTTTCATGGCCCTTTAATTTATTAGTTTTAAGTGAACTACTAGTGTGACCTTTTTAAAAACTATGGCAAAGTTGTAAAATAATTATTTATGTTATATAATGGGCAATGCACAGATGTATAGAGCAACTGTGAAGTATCCAAATTTAAGTCCCGAAAAAAAGCCAATGCTGATATGGCTGCCAATTAATTGTGTATCACTAAAACTATCCCTAAACAAAATAATTGCTTTATAATCATTCATTCATTCATTTTCTTTTCAGCTTATATTCTTTATTAATCAGGGGTCATCACAGCGGAATGAACTGCCAACTTATCCAGCATATGTTTTATGCAGCGGATGCCCTTTTAGCTGCAACCTATCACTGGGAAACACCCATACACTTTCATTTACACTCCTTCACTACGGCCAAGTTAGCTCATTCAATTCACTTATACCTATGCTTTATAATCATTTTAACAGTAATGACAACAGAAACTCAATAATAAATGTATAAAACATCCAAATTACTGTGCCACTGACTATAAACAACATGTATTTATGCATAAAAAGTTTTAAAGCAAAACTGATACTTGTGGCTTATGAACTGTGTAGCTCTGTCTCTTTTTTCTTTGCTCAGAGGAGAACTGGTTGCCCGGCTGAGCCTTGTTCCGCTAGAGGTTTGTTCTCCATTTCCATCTTTTAGTAGAGTTTTGGTTTCTCACCACTGTTGCCATTGGCTTGCTTTGGTTGGTGTCAGTGAAGCTGCCCTTTGGTGGATCTTCCCTCAACATTGATTTGTCTCATCTTTAACAGATTCAGCTCCGAACAAACTAAAACTCTGCCCTGCAACTTGCCTGATATGTTGAATGTGACCCACAAAGTGAAATATGGTTATCTAAAATTTGAATCCTTTTCCTGTTCATCCATATAAAGTGGCTTTGACACATTCTGCTCCACTATACACTGCACATATTTACAGTAGCTTGACTTTAATCTTATTATACAAGACTTAAATAAGACTTATACAGTATCAAAGTCCCTTTAAGGCAAGTCACTTCCCTCAGTGACCATCTTTAGAATGCCTTTCGGCCGTGCAAGAGTACAGCATGTGAAGAAAACTTTACAAAACTGTTTGCAGAGCTTACAATAAAATGTAACATTTGGAATCATCAGTAAATTTTAAAAAGGTCTTTTAGATTTTGTTTTATGAATGTTTTAATCGTGACGATTGTTTTTTTTCATGGTGCCCAAGCTAATGCTTGCTTGAATGAAATGAGATCACAACACGGCCTCCTTTATGGCTGTTTCTGAAAGACACGATCAGACATCATCTTATCAATCAAGCTATGCAACTACCATAAGATTTAATATTTCTTATGTCTCTGAGACAAGAATTTGCTGAGATTATTTTGTATTTGTCAACCCTGGAGCGTTCATAAAAATGAAGCTGCAGAAACACACGACTGGACCAAGCCCATCCCCCGACTTCCTTCTACATGACAGTGTCCATTTCGACTGTTATAGACCTTTTTCTTGGAACGCAAAATTACCAATTATGCTTTGCGTGTATGCGCAAGGAGAATGCGAAGAACTTCCAATCGGCAGCTGATGCGTGTAAACAGTCACATTTGGACAGCTTTGAAACGATAGTTTTAATCTATTTTACCTGCTTTTATCCTCTTTGAACTAACACTGTTGTCCATCAGCACCATCTCCTAGACTGATCATTTAAAGAAATGCGATCTATTAGGATGGAAAACAGCTGCTGTGAGGCTTTTTTTCCTCGCTGTCAGACGGCATCTTTTGCAGTTTAAATGAAGCCTTGTCATTTTTCTCTTTATTTCAAATATATAACCAACCCAAACAAATGTAATTCACCAAAATGTTTGACAAACACAAGTAGCCTGTACTGTGCCACTGACACACTGATTTAATAACTGTGACAAGTGAAAATATAGGCTAGTGTCATTACGAAATGACAGAAAAACACAAACCGTGGTGAATACAACACACGAAATAAAACACAAACCGCTCGCGATTAGAATGAACAGCAAATCAGCCAGCAGAGTATCAATAACAGACTTTTATTGGTCATTTTTGTAAATTGCACGACTTTCATACCTGTTAAGTGTCATGCCAGTACCCTGGTTTGCTATCTCTCTCTCTCTCTCTCTCTCTCTCTCTCTTTCTCTCTCTCTCTCTCTCTCTCTCTCTGTGTGTGTGTGTGTGTGTGTGTGTGTGTGTGTGTGTGTGTGTGTGTGTGTGTGTGTGTGTGTGTGTGTGTGTGTGTGTGTGTGTGTTAAAGAGCCACTGAGCTAACAGCTGACAGGCCGGGAACGCACACTATATTTCTGACGTCAGACACGTGAACTAGGAGAACATTTTTCTCGTATTTCTGACGCGCTTGAACCACATGTGACAGATTATAACGGCTTTAACAGACACATTTATAAGTTGTGTGTCACAAAAACACTCTGTTATCCATTAAAAACGTTATTGAAACCCATTTTCGGAGCGCAAATTACCAGTTGTACACGCTGTAAACGGACGTTTTTAGCATTCTACCGGAAGACGATGGTCGCTATGGCGCCCTCCATGCAGCAGCCATGAAAAAGGTCTATAGTTTTCCTCATTTAAAACTATGCATGACATGTATTGTGTAGTTTAATAATAAAATATTTATATAGTGCTTTTCTGGACACTCAAAGTGCTTTACACACATTTGGGAAAAAATCTCCTCATCCACCACCAGAGTGCAGCATCCACCTGGATGACACGACGGCCGCCATATTGCACCAGACCGCACACCACACAGCAGCTGATTGGTGGAGAGGAGACAGAAAGATGAAGTCATTGATGATATGGGGATGGTTAGGAGGCCATGACGGACAGAGGTCAGTGCGCAAATTTAGCCAGAACACCGGGGTTAAACCCCTACTCTTTTTCAAAGGACATCCTGGGATTTAACGAGGACCTCGGTTAACGCATCATCACTTTGCAGTATAGAGTACCCATCAATGTACTGGGGCATTAGGACACACACAGACCGCAGGTTGAGTACCCCCTGCTGGTCTTAATAACACCACTTCCAGCAGCAACCTCGCTTTCCCATGTGGTCTCCCATCCAGGTACTGAGCGAGCGCAGCCCTGTTTAGCTTCAGTGGGCGACCATGTGAGAGTTGCAGAGAGCTAGCTGCCGGTATTATAGTCTTCGCTTATATTCAAGAAAATATGGTAATAAACTTTCAAATCATTAGTAGATTCACGCAATAATTATGCAACTTAAGATTTTTCAAATAACCAGATCTATCCCTGCATAAAAAAAATCTATAATATTCTTAAAGCTTTATTTCTTACCTGACCGGAGGGTTCGCTGCTGATGGACTCAGTTTTGAAGTTTTCTGACATGCGTGAGCGGGATCGGCAGGGTAGGGTTGCTGTGCTGCCCACCCTCATGTGATTAGACATCATCAGCTCAGAGGGGCCTGTGATTGGACTGTCATCTGTCGGGGTGTCCTGAGGGCTGCTGCTCTCTGGGGACGTCACCTCCGCCTCCATGGAGCTGTAGCCATTCTCATGCTCACATTCTCGGCTATCTTTACTGTCTTTGCTGTCGCGAGTGAACGACGAGCGGGAGATGACACCAAATTTCCGTGTCCGCTTCCCATTCTGTCCATTGTGTGTGGGGCTTCCCGCTGTTTCAGAGGAGACGCTTCGCCTGTGGTCATTAGAAACATCCACAAAGTTGCCCCCGTTGCTGCCATTGCATGGAGGGAGAGGAGCCTTGCGTTTGATTCTGCGCAACATGATCAGGTAGATGCAGCCTCCATTCCAGCACTGGTCCGCCAAGTAACTGGAAAAGAAGGGAGGGATTAAAAATGTTTATTAAAAAGCTATTACACATCATCACACTGTAAATCAACCAGTTGGACAAAATAAACACTTTTCTTTCATTGTAAAAGGGATTACAAAGCTGTCAAATCATCAAATCATTTACAATCACATGAAATGCACTGATGGATGATCATGTGCATGTTGACGGACCACACCCTGATATTCTGTGTGGAACACTAAAATAATAGTTTTAATAACATCTTGGCCATTCGTTGCAAGTGATTCGAAGTGATTAAAAAAATGGGACTATCAAGATAGTAATATAAAGACAAGTACTGTAGTTATTTTAGGCTAAATCTTTTCAATAAAATGTTAGTTTCTGTCACACTTTATTTTGATGAACCATTCGTTACATTGCTTCGACATGTCAACTTATTCTTATTCAATTATAAGTAGACTGTTAAGTTGTGGTTAGGGTTAGTGCAAATAGATATATACTTGCAAAGATCGTTTTTAGTTAAATGTCTGTTGAAGGAGCAGTATCAACAGATATTAAGCAGACAGTCTACTAATACTCAAATGGACCATCAAAATAAAGTGTTATCTTAGTTTTTTTTTTTTAATCAACAGCTTATAACATTCAACCTTACATTAACAGCCTTGTCTTTTTCTTATGTAAAGTGATTGTATGACTTTAATAAATGACATAATATTATATTTTTACATTTTTATTCTTTCTTGTTTCTTTTGTCCCAAAATATTATAGCAATAATATTCAAAAATGCAATCAAATGAGCCCATTTTCTTGGGGAAAAAACCCACATCACGGACATTAGGCAAAATACTCCAAACTGTAATCATTTTTTTCCTTAAAAGTATTTTATTGTAAATGTTAAATATAAAACATGTAATAAAAATAGCTTTTCACTTTTTATTTTTATTTTTTTACACAACAAACAAACAAAACCCATCACACAGACATATATTTATGTTCTATAAAAATATATATTATATTTAATATATATTAATATATTATATTAACATTAAAATAAAACACAAATAAATAATAATATTAAATAAAACATTGTTTACTCTTATACGCAAAAAGGAAACAAAAATAAGGAAAAATAAAATAATAACAACAAGGAAACCCAGAGGGCACACAATATCATAAGATGTTAATTTTAGTTTAGATTTAGATCATGACGTCAGTCAGGTGACCAAAATTCAATGTTTAACCTGCGTCTAAGAACAACGTTATTTTGATGTCCAAAAACGACGTCAAATTACATTGATATTTGCTTGATTTAGGTTGTGTTGGAAAGTGACCTATATCCAACGTCTGATAGATGTCATAGTGGTAACGTCTACACAACGTCAAGGTCTAACATGATTAGACGTTGATATTTGGTTGATTTTAGGTTGGACATTGGACATTGACGTCAACCCGATTTTCAAAAATTAAATTTTTAAATCCAATTCCAAGTCCCCACAACATTGGGGTACAACGTCAAAATAACGTAATGTCGCTGTGCCTGCAGGGAAGGTTCTACTCTTCTAAAATAATTGAAGGGTTCATCTTCTTCATGTGAAAAGTGTATTCATTTTAATGATATAAAAGGCATATCAGAATATACATTTGTTCAAAAGGCAGCACAAATAAAGCACAAATTACTACAGTAATATTAAAAAAAGTAAATATTTCTTGAGCATGTATGGCACAAATATGATCATGTGAGGCTGAAAACTGGAAAAAAAGGGCTACATACTGTGTGTGTGTGTGTGTGTGTGTGTCACATAATACAATCACATGAGTTTTAAAAACAGAAGAGAATAACTGACAGATCACTGATATCATTCATTTGTGTGCGTTATACCTTTACCCTGCAGAGTTCAGAAAGCAAACAAAAGAGCTTTGAAATCTGTCATAATTAATGGTTATAGGATTATCTGGGAGTTTCTGAATTAAGGAACGGCACTGATACAAAAAAAGTGCATAGCATGTTTATACCATGTCTAGACAAGTGCAAAAAATCTTGATGGAAGAAACTGATATGCTGATATACTGATAAACAGCACCTCGGGGACTTGTCCTTATAACTCCATGTCAGACAATGCAACCCAAAACTTTCACTGCTGAAAACACTTTCACAGGTTTGTTTTTTTATGACCACCATAGGTTTTCTCTCACGCGATTCTTGTAAAAAATGCTTAGGCTGACATATTTACAACTGTACACTCAACAATATTCAGCTGGTTGAGGCCCGAAATGTCATTGTACATTAACAAGTTAAAATGACCATAGTTAATCATTTGTGCTGCTTGTTTTCCAAAGTTTGGCTGTAAACGTGCCATATAAAGGATGACCTCAAAGTACAAAACACTAGGGATTTATATAATCTTGAACAGGCTTTTTAAACACCCGTCCTTATATCTTTAAGAGGATAATTTATGATGAAGGTCTATAATCAAATATAAATCACTCTGTAGTTTTAAAGCTGTATAACTTTCTTTCTTCTGTACATATGAAAAACAAAACACTGAGAGATTTCCTAAAATACCTTCTTTCGTGTTTTATTGGAAGTCATACAGGTTTGGAATGACACAGCAATTGATAATTGATGATAGACCTTTGATTTTGAGCGTCTTTTCCCTTTAATACATGAAAAAAGGCCAAATAAATACAATGCTGCTGAACAACAATCTATACATTTAATTGTAGGTCAAAAGAGTGAACACACCTTGAGTTTAACGAACGCCAGTGTTCCAGGGTGAAATGAGCTGACAATGTCCTTCAATACTATGGTAACACTACAACCAGAGTCGCACACAGGTATAATTAACTGAGGCTGAGTGAAACGTTTCCCCAGTTTTCCTAGCTTCCAGTAGTACAAAGGCCTGGGGGAGTGGACTTTCCATGACAATGTGCCTCTGACCAGCCATAGTGACATGCTGATGTGACACAACAACAAAGCATTTGCTTACATCCCCTAAACAGCAAGCTAGACAACAGAGGAGACCCTAATGAAAAACACCAAAATGAAATAAAGCCTTTTAGAGAAAAATTCTGTTAGTGAAAACATCAGTGAAAGCTTGTGGGACTGATTCCCACATGAAACTAAGCTTTGCAGAGGAACAAATGTGGACTGCTGGAAAGGGAGCAAGATATTACACAATAATTGTTTTATCTTGATTAATGTTTTTTTCATAATCAATGAAAACGAAGCTGAATTTCGATTATTTGTATAGCACTAGGAGGAATGCTTATTAGGCCTGTCATGATAAGGAATTTTCTGTTGTGCAATATATTGTCACAGAAATAGTTGTGATAAACAATATTATTGTCATTTTGAGGTCATTTCATGCCACTTAATATATAAAGATTATATAACAGAATAACAATGCAAATAGCCATAAACCCTTTAAAATACTTATCATTCTTAACATTATTTAGATTCTATAACTGGATGTTAAAAATTTAAATCTCCTATTGTATATAATATTAAATACCATATTAAGCAAATGTCCAGTTATAAACTTTGACACCGGTGAGGTAGAAGGCCAATGCAAAATGGTTTTAACATTATTTGTGAATTTGTAAACATATATAATGGCAAAAATGATTGAGGTCATCTCTAAGTATTGCAGGGTAAGTTGATATATTGATTAATGTGACAGGTCTCATGCTTATTTGGTCTTAAAATCTTCACACTTAAAAAGATTGGTCACCCAAAACTGAATTGCTTTATGTTATTTGCTCCCCCTCAGTCAATCTATGATTTTTCCGCCTTTGCATAACATGACAGTAGGTATTTTAGCCAACGGCTTCCAGTCAAAGAAACGTGTTTCCTGCCAGGTTTTTACTACACTTGTAATTATTAGTTTATGTAAAAAAGACAAAGCATTCTTTGGGCATCAAACATCAAGGAATCACAAAATGTGTTTAATGACATAAGCCGAGTTTCCATTAGGGATGCAACTAATATAGATTTTGGTTGTATGATTATAGTCTGGAGAATAATCACGCTTTTACAGTTATTATTTATTCATTTATTTCAAAACACTACTAGTTTAGAAAATTACATGAACACTCCATATATTTTTAAAGTGTTATTTATTGCTGCTTAGTAACAAGTTAATACAGCACAAAATAATAACAAAAAACAAACAATAGACCATTTCTCTTTGGTTTTAAATAAAAAAGTTTTTGGCATTTAAACATAAGTTATAATTTTACACCACAAATAAACGACACAACAATGAATAAATAAAGAAAAAAAAAGAATAATTAGAAAATAGTATGTCTAATGTAAATCTAAGCATCATATTAGCAAAATATTTCCCTTTTAAGGAGAAAAGAATGTAGTCAAAGGTTGTTGAACCTCTGTCTGAAAGGCACTTTTGATCAACTATAATATGAACTTGACTCACTATGTGTTTTCGCCATTCTTTCAACTAGATACGCATAGAAAGAGTGCCGCGTGCGCACCGCATGCACATCACTCACAAACTTGTGCACAAAAGAAGCAACATGAGAACGACCCTTTAATACAGGGTATATGCAGGAATTCTAAAGGTTATTTCAATACTTTAAGACTTTTTAAAGACCTTCTCAGAATATTTTAAGACCTCATCGCCAATAATCGTTCTAATCAGTACAAAACCTTTAACTTAATAAACAGTTGTTAATAAACAGTTACATAAATCAAAAGAGCACAACTATGCAACTGAACTCAGATAAGCTCAGAAAAAAACAAAGCTTGAAAGAATAAATAACGCGGTTGCTTTCAGCAACAGGCTTCAGCTACTGTTTAAACTCGTCTTTCTCCAACGAGGAGTATGCAAATGTACATTTTCCCATTTTGCCGTCTGCTGTGCTCTATGGTTTCGCTACATGTTGAAAGTGTCACATCACCTGTCACATCACAAATTATGTGACATCACCCGGACAGAGGAGCTATGCTGGACATGCCCTAGCCCAAACCAATCACATAGATTTAGCACGCTGTTGTTAATATT